AACTTGAAGAAAACAATTATTGTTTGTCAATGAAGGTGAGAAGAAGGGGGCAAGAGAAGCAATGCAGTGCAGAAGAACGTGTGCTCGCGAAAATAAAAAAGGTACCGAAACAATTATGCGAAATGCCTGCGAAGTTTTGCCTAATTCCTAAAACCGAATTGGAATTGAAAAGTTTAGAGGAAAATTTCATGCGTGGAGTCTAACGCGTGCGAGCTCTTATGTCGATTCCGATTTTGATTACATTAACAAAAAAATTTATGGGGCTTGCAGGGACATCTCCAAAATGTACATGCATAAAAAAAAAAAAAATGTTGCAAAGTATCCGAATAGGCACTCATAATTTCTGTAAGTCAGAAATTTTGAAGAAAGAAGAATTTCGAGTGCACTAGCTAAGGCGAGCGTAAATCCTATGTAAAAGTACAGCAAAATACAAAGAAAATTTTGAGGAGTCAGGAGTGGCTGACTTGTCGCATGCATTCGAGAACAAGCCCTTGTGAACAGCGAAAGGGCTCGCAGAACCAAAACCAGGATGACTTGAACCTGACATCACCATCCGCCGAAAATGCAATCAGGACTGGGTAGAGGAACTGGAATTGGATGTGATCGACGTTGGTCACCAAAAGAGCACTGAAAAAGGGAAGGGGCTCAAAAGCTCGTCCATGTACAGGAGCTCGTGCGTCACATGGGCATGAGTATAATTGCAGGCTCGGAATCCCAGGGCCTGCGGGGTTAGGTACACCTACAATTTCGGACAGGGGAAAAGCTGGGTACTATGCAAAGTTGAACGGCCTCGGGGTATAGATGCAAGTTCCCGGGGTATAGGTGCAAATTCGCACTGGGACTGGTTATAGCGGGTGTTAGGGGTACACATGCAATAGTCCCCCCCCTCCCCTCCCCCTAAAAAAAAAAAAGCCAAGGTTCACTGGCCGTTCGACAGGGCATCCTCACACTAGGACTTGGGCATCCTCACGCTAGGACTTTTTCTACTAAGCTTTGGAGCGCTCACATTCATCCAGCTCTGGCAGTAATTGAGGTCAGATACATTTGGGAAAGTTCTAGGATGACTTTTTTTGTTTTTTGTTTTTTCCCTTCTCCCAAATTTTTCATCCTCTTTCAAATTCTTTCAATTCACCTCCGCTATCTACCTACCACTACTCCTAAGGCTTATACAGGGGACCCCTGCGAACATAGCTTTGTTGTCTTGTAAAGCCCAACCAATTCAATTACCCGTCCAATCCAGACAGGACTACCTTTCATGCCTTTTATTTATTTATTTATTTATTTATTTATTTATTTTACTCACGAGACTCCCATCCCACCACTCCTCTCCATATATATCTCCTGGCGCACACCCACTCCATTTCTATCTTACCTCATGCGAGGAACATCACTCTCTACCTGAGCAACCTGACCAGACAGGCCTTTTTTAATTGTCATTGTAGTATTACAAGAACCCTGTAGCAGGCTCAAGCCTCCACCGAGGGAACATGGGGGAGCTGCACCCACCAGCAGCAGGTGCGATACCTGTCACAGCAGGTGGGGGATACAGGCCAGGGGTCAGCTGGTAGCATCGGATCTGAGCTTCTTCGATGGGCCAGTCGCTGTGCCTCCCCTCCTGTCCCCTCCCCCTATGAACATCAGCAGTCTCTGCTCAATGCCGCTCGGTGAGACCAAGGGCTTATCCCTACCGTCTTCCCCCAAACAAAACGCATTATTTATGATCCCTACAGTCTTCCCCGAAACAAAACGCACCTGCGTTATTTATGAATAGAATGCATGGGGTGCGTTGCATTCGTATATATTCGTAGACAATGCATGTGCGTTATAGGGTATCAGCTTCCACCTCCCCCCCCCCCCCCCCC